GTCCAGTATCTTTTTTGTGTGTGGTGGGGGCGTGGGGTGGTCCCGGGGGGGGGCTGCACGCTGAGCACCAGCGGCTCGGGGTGCAGCGCTCCTGCGAGCAGCCGGGGAAACTGAGGCAGGGTGCTGCCGTGGGTCCTGCTGGGGTATGACGGCATCGCGTGATGGTGCATTGCGTTTGCACGCTGCATTTGCACGCTACCATTGCATAGTGTGTTCGCACGCTGCATTTGCACGCTACGATTGCACATTGCACTTGCACGGTCCATTTGCACACTGGGACTGCATACTGTGTTTGCACGCTGTATTTGCACGGTGCAATTGCACACCGCGATTGCCCATGAACGCACCGGGCCCCGGCCGGGCCCCCTGCGCTGCCCCGGGGTGCACGTGCCGCTCCCTCCCCTCCCGCTCTCTCCCCAGCCCTGCCGCCCAGCAGCATCCCCGCGACGGGCAGCGGGCGCAGCACCGGCATGATCGCCCTCACCTCCATCCTCTCCATCCTCTTCGCTGTCCTGCTGGCCGGCCTGGTGGCCATGCTGTTCTTCTCGGGCGCTTGAAGCATAGCAAATGCTCCCCGGGAAAACGAGCCCGACCTGTTTGCCACGGGCCTCGGCCAGCGCAGGAATGTGGGCGGTTGGCAGCCGCAGGTGGGTCCCATGGGGACAGAGCACACACAGTGCTGCCTGCACTCCCGCCCTCGGCACCCAGGCACCCGCACGATGCTCCCGCTGCTCCTCCTGCTCCTGGTGACAGCCCACAGCCTGGGTGAGTCCGCCAACGCCATCGGGCTGGGCTGGGGGTCCCCGCTGTCCCTTGCTTGCGGGGGTCCCCTGTGCGCAGGCACTGGGACCCCCCCAGAGCCTGGAGATGCAGAGCAGCTGATGCCCCCCCCTATTTTGGGTGCCACCCGTAGTGTCCCTGGTGTCACCTTCCTGGGTCTGCTGGCACAGCGTGGGGTCCTCCGGGGTCTCGCAGGGGTGCCCCTCCCCGGGTGGTGGTAGGGGGGTGTCTTTGCTTCCTCTTTTCATGAAACGTGTCTGAGCCCAAAACCGGGGGCGGGAGGGGAGCGGGGGCCCCGCAGCTGGGATCACAGGGGTCAGCTCCCTCCTGTCCCTGTCCCCACGCCGAGCCCCCCGGCACCGCTGCAGCCGATCGGAGGAGCCGCCGGTCAGGGGCTGCAGCGGGGTGTCCGCACCCTCCGCCGCACCCACCTTGGCTTCTCACAGCAGACAAGCCGTACGTGCCGACCCTGGCCACGTCCCCCCTGGGGGGCCTGAAGACCACCTCCACCTTCGTGCTGGAGCAGCCCCGCTGCGCCTTCACCAAGGTGCAAAGCGACGCCGTCATCTGGCTGGTGGTGGCCATCCCCAAGGGTAGGTGGGGTGCGGCGAGGCCCCGGGGGGAGCAGCCCCGGGCAGGGGTGCGCGCAGGGCTCCCTGCGCCCCCCGGGGTCCCTCCTCACCCCCGTCCCCATCCCCGCAGCCATAGACAACTTCAGCAACAGCGTGGCGCCGGGGACCCCCGAGCGGGCCTTCCAGGGCTTCCCCGCCAGCACCCCCGCCTACATGACCCTCAACACCACCCTCCTCAACTACCCCTGCCCCAAACCCCCCGGGGAAATCACCGTGCTGCGTGTCGGCAGCGAGACCAGCTGCGCCACAGACAAGACGAGACCCACCTGCAACGGCCCCCTGCCCGGCCCCGGGCCATACCGGTGAGCCTGCTCACAGGGACGTGCCCCCCCG